GTGGAGTCAGTTCCGACTCACAGTGACCCTGCATAGGGTTTTTTGAGGTTGTAAATCTTTACGGGAGCAGAAAGCCTCATCTTTCTTCTGTGGAATGGCTAGTAGTTTCGAACTGCTGACCTTGAAGTTAGCATCCCGACTCGTAACCATGTAAGTGCCAGGATAGCTGCCATGATGTTGACTACGACTCATAGCGACACTCTGCACAACACAATGAAACACTGCCTGGTCCTGTACCATCCTCACAATTTGCATTTTGTTTGAGCCCATTGGTGCTGTCACTGTGTCAAATCCATCTCGTGGATGGCTTTCCTCTTTTTCACTTACCCTCTACCACTTATGTTTTCTCCAGGGGCTGGTCCCTCTCGATAACATGTCGAAAATACAAGAGACAAAAGTCTGACCATCTTCGTTTCTAAGGAGCATTTCTGTTGTGGTTCTGATGCAGATCTTTTCTTCTTTATCGTATATTTAATATTCTTCACAAACACTATAATTCAAAGGCAGACATTCTTCTTTGATCTTCTCTCTTCAGTGTCCAACATTTACATGCATATGAGTCCATTGAAAATACCCTGGCTTGTGTCAGCTGCCCCTTAGCCCTTAAAGTGACATCTCTGATTTTTATCCTTTAAAAGAGGTCTTGTTTTCAGCATACTTGTCTAATGCGGTACGTCATTGGATACCTTGACCACTGCTTCCATGAACACTGATTGTGAATCCAAGTTCCATGAAATCCTTGACTACTTCCATCTTTTCACCATTTATCCTAATGTACTTACAAGTCCAGTTGTGAAAATTTTTGTTTCCTGAGTGTTCAGATGTGGCACTGTGGGTGTGGGTTAATGCACTACGACTGCAAGGTCGATATGAACTGCAAGGTGGATGATTCAAGCTCCTCGGAGTGAAAACCGACTCAACAGCATTTAACAATAACAACCACAACTATCCGTACTAATGGCTGGATCTTGGATCGTCGTCAGTTTGTTAGGTTATTAGCTCAGCATACAGATGGAGTGTGTATGGTGACAGGATATGGCGCTGACACATAGCTTTCCTGATTTGAAACCACACAGTCTGCCCTTGTTCTGTTTGAAGGACTGCTGGTCGCTCTACTTAGAGGTTCCACAGAAGCACAATTAAACATTCTAGAATTCTCCTCCTTCACAGTGTTATCCATAGTTTGTCATAATCTACACAGTCAACATGGTTGCTTAGTCAAGAAAATGTAGGTAAACATCTTTCTGGCATTCTCTGCTTTCAGGCAAGACCCATCTGACATCAGCAGTGATAACTCTGGCTGCAAATCCTCTTCTGAATCCAGATAGAGCCTTTTGCTGTTCCCTATCAAAAAGGAGCTCTGGTAGCGTTGTTGTTGTTAAGTGCCGTCAAGTCGGTTCCGACCCATAGCGACCCTGTACAGGGTTTCCAGAGCTCTGGTAGTGTAGTGGCTATGAATCGGGCTGCGAACCTTAAGGCCAGCAGTTCAAAACTACCAGCTGCTCCGTGGAAGAAAGATGAGGTGTTCTGCTCCCGTAAAGATTACAGCCTCGGAAACCCTGTACAGGGTTGCTATGGGTCGGAACCGACTTGACCGCACTTAACAACAACAATAATCGATGGACTGCTACAACCAATTTTGAATTATCTTCAGCAAAATTTTAGTTACTTGTGATATTAATGATATTGCTTGGCAATTTCTGTTATCTTCTGGGACACCTATTTTTGGGATGGGCACAGATATAGATCTCTTCCAGTCAGTTGGTCATGTAGCGGTTTTCCAAATTCTTTAGCATAGACGAGTGAGTGCTGCCAGCATTGCATTAGTTTGTTGAAATATCTCAGTCAATACTTCATCATTTCCAGGAGCCTTGGGATCTGCCCATGCCACCAGTGTACCTTGGTTTTAGTATTCTTATTCTTCCTCTTGAAATGGTTGAACATCAGTTAGTTTGTTTTGGGTCCAAGGACTGTGTATTCCTTACATCTTCTTCTGATGCTTCCAGTGTTGTTCAGTATTATGCCTATGGAATCTTTCAGCATTGAAATGTGAGGCTTAGATGTTTCCTCAATTCTGAAATATCTTCTTTTCAACTGCTTCAGGAATATAAAGCATGCTCTTCTATTTCGGGTTTCTAACTCCAGGCAAAGGACACAAGTTCACATTTCATTATAGTACTTTACTTTGTCTTCTAGAGCTACCCTCTTGAAATCTTAGTTACTTAACCATTTCTTCCATTCACTTCAGCTACTTTATGCTCAAGAGCAAGTTTCAGAGTCACTTCTGGCATCAGTTTTGATCTTTTATTTATTTCCTGTCTTTCTTCATGTATCATGTCCTTGATGTCTTCCCACAACTTTCCTGATCTTCAAATCTATTTTTGTGATACTCTCTAAATTTAGGTGGTATATACTCAAGGTTGTACGTTGGCTCTTCTGACCTTGTTTTAATTTTCTGCAGTTCCAAACTGAGCTTGCACATGAACAATTGGGTATGTTCTGCTGTTGGCCCTTGGCTTTGTTCTGATTGTTCTGTTAATATTGAGTATCTCCATCGTCTCTTTCTACAGATGTAGTTTTGATTTCTGTGTATTCCATTCATTGAGGTCCACCTTTCTAGTCACAGTTGAGTTGTTGCAAAAAGATATTTGCAATGAATAAGTCATTGGTCTTGCAAAATTCTACCATTCAAATCTCCCATGTTGCATTATCTTCAAGGTTATATGTACCAAATACTGATCAGTCCCCGTCCTTTCCCCCCCAATTTTTGCATTCCATCACCATAAATGATCAATTCATCTTTAGTGCATGTTTGATTAATTTCGGACTGGAGAAGTTGGTAAAAGTCTTCCATTTCTTCACCTTTGACATTAGGGGCTGTTGCGGAAGTTTGAATAAGAGTCCTATTAACTTTGTAGGTGCTTAGATACTATCCTATCCCTGGTAGCATTGTACTTTTGGAGTCGACCTTGAAATATTGTTCTTGGTGATGAATGCGATTTGTCAGTTTGCTATTCTGAGAATACTAATCATATGGCTGTCTGACTCAAAATAATCAGTATCAGTCTACCAGCTCGCTAATGCCTAAGGTATTAATCTTTATGTGTACCATTCCAATTTTGACAACTTCACATTTTCCTAGATCCGTACTTTGTATAAAGGAACCCTGTGGGGCAGTGGGTTAACCACAAGGGCAATAGTTCAAACTCTGTAGAAATAGATGAGACTGCTCTCACGAACATTGATAATTTTGGAAACGATCTGCTTGGTCCTACAGGGTCACTATTAATTGGAATAGACTGGAAAGCAGTGGGTTTTTGTTGTTGTTGTTGTTTATATTTTGTATATTCATGTTCCAATATACAAACTCTGGTAGCATAGTGGTTACCAATGGGGCTGCTAACCTCAGGGCTGGCAGTTTGAAACTACCAGCTGTTCCCGCAGGAGAACGATGAGGTTTTGTGCTTCCGTAAAGATTTACAGCCTCAGAAACCCTGTGCAGGGTCGTTATGAGTCGGAACCGACTCCATGGTACTTAACAACAACAACAACAATTGTTAATGGATGATTGCAGGTGTTTTTTCCCATTTGGAGTCATGCCCCATCAGCAAATGATGGGGTTGAAAGCTCTAATCCATCCAAGTCATTAAGGTGAACTCTACTCTGAGGGAGGCAGCTCTTCTCCAGTCATAGTTGGAGTGCCTGCCAATCTGGGGGGGCTCACCTTGTAGCACTACACTAGATGGTATTCATAAGGTTTTCACTTGCCATTTCTTTTTACAAATAGATCACCAAGTCCCTTATTTTTGTTTGTTTGTTTATCTTAGTCTGAAGCTTTGCTGAAACCCATCCATCTTGAGTGACCCTGCTGAGATTTGAAATACCAGTGGCAGAGCTTCTAGCATCACAGCATCAAGCCACCACAGTCCCCAAGCTGACAGAAGAGTAGTGGGTCTCTTCACTGGCCATCTGAATCCCATCTTTGCCTTGGTGTGAATGTGTGTGTCGGTGGGGGAGGTTCTCTTGCTTTAATATTGTTTTATTTTTAGGCTTTCAGAGATAGTTATTAAATAATTTGATTATAGAATAATCCTGTGTATTCACAATGTCGTGCTTTCATCAAAAGAATCCTACCCAATGCATTTCATTTGAGGAGTTGTACTCCCGATGCACTAAAAATAAGAAATGTTCATTTCATGCAGACTATTATCAGATAGTTAAAAATATCCACCAAACTGGAATGCCCAGTGCCTATGTTAGGAATTTCCATAATAAAATGCCTGCATCATAGTTGGAGAAGAATGGTTTTATATAAACAGAGAAAAACAACCAATATACTCCTTGAGGACAGTTTTAGCTACAGTTTACCAATGCAGTTATTTCTGCCCTATTTTGATGCTTTTGTTTTGAAACACAATGCAATTTAACCTCAGTGCCCCCTGGATATTCAGAAATTAGTCTAGTGTACTGATTTTCAGGCAAAAATGCAAGATTTCAGGAGACATCTGAGAAATCTGGAGGCACAGATGCCTTGCCCTGTCCCCCCCGCCCCCACCTCCAGCGGGGAGGAAGGGGTTAAGGAAGATTGGAAACTAGAGGAGGAGGAGGGAGCCCCGAGGAGGCGCTTGCTGAGCCTCCAGGTCTAGCTTTCATCACCGGTGGGAGCTCTGAGTGCAGCCTTGAATTTGGAGGGGAGGGGGAACTGCTGCCAATTTCTGGACCGCTGCTGGGAGGAGTGGGCGTGGTCTCAGTGGTGTGGATGCTCGGTGCTTTCCAGTGAGAGTCAGGACTGTGTGTATGCGCGCGCGCAGGAGTGAGAGTGTGTGCGAGTGTATGTGTGTGTGTGTGTGCATGTGTGTGTGAAAGGGACAGAGACAGGAGGGAGGGAGAGAGGGAGAGACTGAGAGACAGGTGCTGAAGAGCCAGGCAGAGCTGGGAGAAAGAAGGAGCAAGGGAGCCGATAGAAGCACTCAGGATCTTTGTGGAGTCCAGCAAATGTGAATATGGGGTCTGTCACCGGAGCTGTACTCAAGCTGATACTTCTGATATCTACTCTCAGTTGGAACAGGGTCCTAAGTGGGAATTCCTGTAAGTACATATACAGTGAATGATTGAAAACGCTCAGGGGGGCTCACGGTAAAACTTTGATTCTGTTGTTTTTATGATAATTATTTGCAACTAGACTTGCGGCAAAATCACATTGCTGTAAACGAAGCATCATCTTTAACCATCCAGTAACTATGACCCGGTTAACACTCATCTTTCCTCTTGGTCTGGTCCAGATAGGCAAAGTATCATTTCTCTTTTTGTCTATTAGCAGAACCCCATCCTCTTGTCTTTGCATATTAATTGAGAAAGATCAAGTTCTGGTTTAACCCCAAATTAGCATCTTAACCAGGAAATATCCTGCGGATGGGATGTCTTCATTCCTTCCTTTGCTAGGATGACTGAATTTTATTGGAATTGTGTCGAACAGGAAAGCAGCGGGCTGACTTCACATGTAGGATGCTGTATTAGCTCAGGTTTCTGAAGTTTCAATTTGACAGACTGGTAACCGGCTGCATCTTTAAGATGAAGATGCCCGGCTCATCACGGAAATATACTGCAGAATTGAGGAGCACAACTAGAGGAAGCAAACTCAGTATTAAGAGCTGTGGCTTCGTTGTTAAGAGAATGTTGAGCACTCCTGAAAGAGGGGGACTGAGCCTATGTTTTGCTGAAAGGAAAACATTCAGGTGGTTTTGTCAAAAGTAGTCTTATTTGGTGGCTGAATTTTAAACTTTATACAATCGTCATTGAATATTTTGATTTGGAGTCTGGTTGATTCAGTAAATAATTATATGAGCGTCATTTCTAATTTAAGGGTCATACACAGTCATCTGGCAGGATGCTCTTCTTCCACTTTTTTTTATTAGAGATAGAAAAAGTTGAAAAAATTAGACTGAAATCTCTAAAACGGAACATTACTCCCTTCTTGATGAGTGATTAATAAGCTCCGTTTATGCACCTTTTTCGTTCTTGGGTTGGAGAGGAAAAGCTCATTTGCTTTTCAAGAAAGAGCTGGCAGGCCCGGTTAGGGACGGTTGTCACAGCGGTAGAAGCAGGCTTTGGGGAGGGCCACCAGTGCCAGGTGGGCCTTTTCTGTGTAGCATGGCACTGGTCTGCACCCTCAGACTCTGATGTGGGAAATACATTACAAATGAACTGTCCCCAGCCACCATCCACGCACCCTGTAGGACTTCTCTCCTGGTGTTGCACTCAGAGGGCTTCAGATTCCGTTTTAATTGGTCTGTATGAGCATCCCATGAGTCAGTAAGATTTGCATATGTTAACCTAGTGAAAATCATAGAATCTGGTCATAGTTTTGATAAATATCAAAACAAGCCACCATCACCAACACACACACGCATGCATACACACACACACACACACGAAGTTGTGTAGAAAAGGCACACTACAACCATTCATCATCCAACTACTGAAGTTCAACAAAACGGGAAGGCGCTAGAGGTCACTCTTACAATATAGAGCCTATCACTTCAAGCAGCCTTCCCCCAAAACAGAAGTCCTGTCTTCCCAAGTGCTGCCTGGGGTCGGGTTTACAATATGTTGATGTGATTGGGTGGGCTCCTAATTGTTTATCTTTGTTTCTTTCTCTTGAAGTTCCTCAGTAGGCATCCAGGGCAGGTAGATTTAAATGGTTCTCTTTTGTCATACATCTGTTTAGTGGATCTGCTGGGAAGAACTGAGGAGGGCACCATATTCAAGTCTGCTTTGCTCTGGCTGGGTTTCTGGTTGTTATCTAAAATTTCAATCCTCCTTATGTATTCTTTCAGCCTTGGTTCCTTCAGGAAGTAAACTTAATGCTCTTCTAAATGCTTAAAACAATGAAAGGACCTATAAAAATGTTGAACTACTCAAATGATTTAGATATTAAATTTGGAGTTATTATTTACATATTTCCTAGGGGTTACGGCTGTCCTTCAAGTGTCTAAAAAGTCAGGTGACTTTGTATAAGTAAAGTTGCATTTAGTAATTTCTTATTGGCTCTAATTGTATCTACTGCGAAACAATCATTCTTCCTAAGTATGATTGTTTCGCAGTAGATACAATTACAGCTGATAAGAAATTACTAAATAAATAGAAAGCATTCATTTTATTTTATTCCTTATTATTTGGGGAACATTTTGGTTTTGGAAGGAAATGAGATCTAAGACTTCGCCATCTCTCATTACCCCGTCATGGTTAGAGTGTACTCCATGTATTTTATCCTTTAAGGACAAGTGTGTACATGGGACTTAAACAAGTGTAGGAAAATGAAATGAAAAGAGAATGGAGTTTTTCCATGAACTTTTTGAACTCCTCATGTATATGTTTGCCAGCAAGTCGCCTTTAGTCCATCAAACGGACCCAGGAGCATAATCACCTTCAAGTGTTATGGTAACTCCAGTCACTTTGCTGGACTAGTCTTTGTAATAACAAAAAAAAGGTATCAATCTTCAGCACCACAACTTAAGTCAGGAACTGAATTTTAATGCAGAAAATTAAAGGTGAATACACAGACCTCCTTCCTTTATGTACCCGTGACTCATCAGGAGTCCTAGTATGGTGATGATGTAGGATAAACACTGGACTAAAAGTTGATTTGGATCACAGGGTCGGTGGTTCAAACTCACCAGCCACTCCTTGGAAACCCTATGCCTGGTCTCTATGATTTGGAACCCACTCGATGGCACTTAACAACAACAACAAAATCATTAGCAGCAAATCTATTCTTCCACTAAGTCAGCCCAATGCTCCACTGTGAAAGCTTTCTTGGGACAGAGCTCTCTGTAAACCCAGGACAACTCAGGGAGTAGGTACATGTCGAATGGATGTCAGTTTACCTAATTAATCCACTGGGAAATTTTATGTTAGGAGAAATCTGCATCTGTTTATCTACAGATACATGTATGTTATATGTGTAGGTGTACATAAAGGAGCTCTGGTAGCATAGTGGTTACCAGTCAGGCTGCCAACCTCACGGTCAGCAGATCGAAACTACCAGTGGTTCTGCGGGAGAAAGATAAGTATGTATAAGCTATTAGACTGGTGTTTGGCTACTCATCTTCCATAAAGATAAAGTTTGTTGAGTGAACCATATTACTTGCCTACTTTGTGCCTTGATACTTAAAACACAATGAGCAAGATCCTCTTTGTTCTGGTCAAAGTGAGTTTGTTATTATATTGTGGTGTCCTTTTGATGGAAATTTGTGTAGACTGATCCTATATGACAGAAGGGCTTGCATTTTGAGAAGTTGAATAGGCTTTTGTTAGTTTCTTCTACTAAGAAAACACAGTGAAGTGGAGACATCTGTTTATTTTATAATTACTCATATGAGTCCACAGTTTCTTTCTGAACATTAAGATGTTGTTGAGGAAGAGGTCAGCTCTCTAAAAAGGAAGGAACAGACATAAATAGTAAGGCAGGTGAGAACGTTGCTTTTATTTTTACTCTTCACATCATGCGATGGAAACTCTGGCCTAAGATATGCTGAACTTTACTCTGAGAAGAATTGATGCTCACCACATTGCTTATGGAATCTTAGTGGGGTGCTGTATGGTAAGGATTGAACCACAAGGTTGGTTTGGACTGAACGTCAGCAGTTCAAACTCACCAGCTGCTCATCAGAAACCCTATTCAGTGTTGCTGTGAGTCAGAACTGACCCCACAGTGCTTAACAACAACAACTTAGCTTATGAGTGACTTCATTAAAAGCTAACTTCTGGATACATTCTTTCTTTTATTTGAAATAAAGTATAGCCTGACATCTACCCTGAAAACACTAAAAGTATAATTTCAAATCAGCAACAGATAAAGGGGATTATCTGCATTAGAGGTCTGGAATACAACACCAATGTAATGAGATCAATTTCAAATTGTTAAACCTCAGTTTCATAGTTTTTTCCAAAAGTTTCCTTGTATACCCCACCTCCCCCATATTATCTTTCCATAGTAACAAGTAACCAGAATACAAGGTACTGATGAAATATGAAGAGATGATGCAGTGCATGAATGAATGGATGACATTTGGATATCAAGATTAGCGTGCACTTCCATTTGCTTTGCTGTAGTAACGCTGGTTTGTTTTCATCCATTTGGTACAGTCTCTCTACTACTTGTTGTATACACATCATTTCTGAGATAGGCTACCCATGCTCTGGGGAGAACACAGCTCACAGGCCATATGGAGATCAAATACATATGGCCTAGTGTCTAAGTAATAAACATTATTAGTGTCTTATCAATTAGTTTCACAGTTTGTATCTTATGCAAACACTGTCTTCAACTGGTGACTTACCCCTCCAGTGAAAAGCGATTAATAGAGTTACATAACTTAAAGTGTAATGTTGTTGTTGTTAAGTGCTGGCGAGTCAGTTCTGACCCATAGTGACCCTGTGTAGGGTTTCCAGGGAGCAACTGGTGAGCTTGAAACGCTGACCTTGTAGTTCAAACTAACTTTGCAGTCTACTGCATTAGCCCACAGTGCCACACCAGGACTCCTAAAGTCTAATATAATGTACTAATTAGTCAAGTTTTGGCAAACTGTGGGCCCGCAGGACAAATCCAGCCCACTGCCATTTTTGTACAACCCAGGAACTAAGGGTGATATTTGTGTTTTTAAAGTTTGAAAAAAAAACAACAACAAAAGAAGAATTCTTTATAACACATGAAAATGCTATGAAATTCAAATTTTATTGCTATCTAATCTTCTCATGAGTAGACCTGTGACAAAAATTTGTACTCTATTATTTGAATTTTATCAATAAATTTATGTGGCTATTGGTGTACCTCTTGTTTTGTAAGTGCCTATATATAGTATTCTGATATTAACTATTTACTATCTGGCTCTTTGGAGTCCTAGTGTGGAGCTATAGGATAGGCACTGGACTGGTAACTGCAAGGCTGGCGGTTCAAATCCACCAGTTGCTCCTCAGAAACCCTATGTAGCATCGCTATGAGTTCAGAACCAACTGGACTGCACTTAACAACAACAACCTCTGGTTCTTTACAGAAAAAGTTTGCTGACCCCTGATTTAAATAATTA